AAAGAGGATGGTAAGAATACTTATTGTAAATCAGTTCTTTTGACACTGTACTGAAGGTCCTACCTAGTGTAATAAATAAAGGAAAAGAAGTAAAAATGTAAAAGGCAAACACAATGTAAAGGAAGAAGGAGAACTGTCATTGTTTATGCATCATGTTAGTATAAAAATCCAAGATATCTTCTAAAATAGCTGCCAAACTATTAAGTGAACTTAGTAGAGTTATACAATACAGTGTCAATATTAAAATACCAGTTGTACTTTACAAACTAGCAACAAAGAATGTAAAATATGTACAATATGTAAGATAGCATCACAAAGCATGAAATATATAAGGATAGGCTTAACAAAATATGTACAATATCTGTATACTGAAAAGTACCAACCTTGTTGAAAGAAATTAAAGAACACTGACTAAATAGAGTTGTAAATTATGTTCATGGTTTGGCAGACTCAATATTGTTAAAATTTCAGCTGTCCCCAGATAGTCCCAATGAGAATTCTAGCAGAGTATTTGTAAAAATTAACAAGCTGATATTTTGAAATTTAAATGGAAATGCAAAGGCTTAAAATAGCGGAACAGTTTTGGAAATGAACAGGGTGGGAATCTATGGAATGCAGATTTTTAACATGGCCCCGAGATGCCAGCCCCTGCTGCTCAGGCCTGTGTAATTCCCTCCCCTTAAGTGGGACAGGAACCTGTGAACAGGGTGGGCTGTCCTGCTGATGTGAAGATTATGTTACATGGCAGAAGTGGAGGGATTTCCACCAATGGCTCTATGCAAGACTGAGATGATTTCATGCCTGTGTGGGGACAATCAGAAAGAAAATTTTGGTCTCCATTCCATGGAAACATTTGCATCTTTACCACCTCTCAGGTCAATGCAAACTCTTACTAGAGAGTCCACCCTAGGGTCAGTCTATGGGAGGAGGCCCACATATGCCCTGAAGCCCACTGCTGTCTCTTTGGGCAGGGCCCTCAGGGGTCAATGTTCTCCAGGGTGTTGTCCAGAAGGGAAGGGATTGCAGGTTTTAGATAAGACTGCCAAGGCCCCAGGGTCTCCTCACTCCATTAAGAGGCTTAAGGTGGCTGGAGGAGGGGGCTCCCAAAGCAGGATATCTCAAATTTTGCAGGCATACAAGTGACCTCAGGGTCTTATTGAAGTGCAGGATCAGAACATGTGTGGGGTGAGACCTGGGATTCTGCACCTCTAACATGCCCTAAGGTGACGTGCCGGGCCCTGACACATAGCCCCAGGTGCAAGGGCAGTCCCCTTGGGAAGTTTGGCAGTGCATCATTGGTATCAAGGCATACAGTCAGCCCCAGCTGTACCGGTGTCACCTAGAGTTGTCACAACTCTGCAGCAACAAGAAAGTGAAAAGAGGAAGAAGGGCTGTGCTTCATTGTGTGTCCACTCTGTGTCTCAAGTGACTTTATTTGTTACATCTCATGTAATTCATTGACCACTGCTCTCTTCCAGGAAAGCGCTTAGAAATACTGGCTAGCACGTCAAGATATTCTTCCTGACCTCTCAGCAGCCCTCATTTCAGGCTGTCTTTCTGTCCCAGGTACTCAAGCCACAGTGCTTGGAAGCCCCATCCCTGATTCCATATCCTCGTCGTCAAGACCTCTTGACAGCCCTGGAAAACGTGCTGGCTGGTTCTGCCACAAAGTCCTGTCTCTCCTGATTCCTGACAGATTTCCTGTTAAGTGCCTTCCTGACCTTCTAGCACATTATCCACAGCAATGTCCCAAGTCATTTCCACTCATTGTTGGAATAAGGGCAGCCCTGTTTCTAACCGTGAGCCAAAGGACTCAGATCCCAGGTGAAGAAGGGAAGAAGGCTTCCTGTCCCTACTCCCTTTCTTCTCCTGGGCTTGGCTCATCTGGCCTTCCTTGTCTTCCCATCTCATTTGCTCTGATTTCCAGCCACTCAAAATATTGCCCAGACTTCTTATTTTGTGAACTCATTCGTGCTCTCTATGTGTGCTGTTGCAGTCCTCCATCCCCACACTCAGTGCCCTCTGCTCACCCCCTACCACCAGCTTCATCTCTTACATTATAGACTTTACTTCTACTCAACCACAAGTTTAGAGATATTCAAGGAAAAAAATTAGTATGCATTTTACTATTTAGCACCATATGCCTGTATTTACATGTATATAAAAGTACATTAAGTTTTTCATTTCTCTGACAAATCCTTTTTCATGAAATAAGACTAAATTAAATACGTTGTAGAGTATCTGCATTATCACTTAGTTGGGTCATATCAATGAAGTTATAATGAGCTTTATTTATGATATGTGAAAACATATACAAATAGCTATTATTAAGCATAAATGAAAAAATTTGACTTTTCTGTTTACTGAAAGGAAAAATGCAATAATCTTTGTTCCGGTCTGCTCAAAGAAGTAATGTTGAAAGTTAATGTAACACAGGTTCAAAATAGCTGTTAAATATATGTAAATTATAAAAGTGATTATCAGTGATAGTCAGTACATTTTGAGTCTTAAGTGGAGTAAATAATCAAAAATTGTAAATAATTTAAAAATTATTCATTGTACTTAGAAATTCATGATAGTGCGGGCGCCGTGGCTCACTAGGCTAATCCTCCGCCTAGCGCACCGGCACACTGGGTTCTAGTCTCAGTCGGGGCACCGGATTCTGTCCCGGTTGCCCCTCTTCCAGTCCAGCTCTCTGCTGTGGCCCGGGAGTGCATTGGAGGATGGCCCAAGTGCTTGGGCCCTGCACCCCATGAGAGACCAGGAGAAGCACCTGGCTCCTGGCTCCTGCCTTCGGATAAGCGCAGTACGCTGGCCGCAGCACGCCGGCCGCGGCGGCCATTGGAGGGTGAACCATCGGCAAAAAGAAGACCTTTCTGTCTGTCTCTCTCTCTCTCTCCCACTGTCCACTCTGCCTGTAAAAAAAAAAAAAAAAAAAGAAAGAAATTCATGATAGTTAGTCTTAAACTAATAATACATTTCTTCATTTATGTTTTGTATTTATAAACTGACAGTGAAAATAGTTGACCTAAAAGCAAGACAAATAACCAGGAATCCCAACCTGGTATTAAAACTCTGTTCAATTTACAGTTGCCTTGTGTAATGCTCATCCACTGTGGTTTTTTAAAGATTTATTTATTTATTTGAAAGGCAGAGTTACAGAGAGGCAGAGGCAGAGAAAGAGAGAGAGAGAGAGGTCTTGCATTTGCTGGTTCGCTCCCCCAATGGCCATAACAGCTGGAACTCTGCCGATCTGAAGCCAGGAGCCAGGAGCTTCTTCCACATCTCCCATGCAGGTGCAGGGGCCCAAGGACTTGGGCCATCTTCTACTGCTTTCCCAGGCCTTAGCAGAGAGTTGGATCGGAAGTGGAGCAGCCGGGACTCAAACCCATGCCATTATGGGATACTGGCACTGCAGGCGGCATCTTTACGCACTACTCCACAGCACCGGCCCCATCCATCGTATTTTATAAAACAATAAATAATTGTAATATCCTAGATATTAAGAGTGACTTTTATCTTGTTCTTGGCAAAGATTACCTATGTCATAAGTGACATAGTTTGAAAAGAACCCTTCTGATAACTAGCCTTGAAAAACCAAGTATATCCAGTTGTTAAATAAAAGGTGACATTAAGAGTTTGTTATTTGGCTCATCAGTTAATGCCAGTCTGGACAGTGGAATGCCTACATGCAAGTCTCAGCTCCACTTACAGTTCCAGCTTCCTGCTAGTGTGCACACTGGAAGGCAGCAGGTGACAGCTCAGGTAGTTGGAGACCTAGATTGAATTCTGAGTTCCTGGATTTGACCTGGCCCAGTTCTGGCTGTTCCTGGCATTTGGGGAGTGAACAAACAGATGGATGTTGTTTGTCTATCTTTTACTAAAAATCTGTCTCTCTTTCTCTCTCCCTCTCTCTCTCTTCCTTTTGAATAAAAATGAATAAACTTTAAAAGAGTGACATTAAAATATTTATTACTTTTAATTATAAAATATGGGAGCATGAATGATGTAATTATAAAAACTGAAGTAAAATCATTTCTGTTTAATGTTTGTGCCATGTTTTTTTATTCTCTAATATTTTTGTTTTGTATTGTTTTGTTTTGAGCCATTACTCTGCAGAGGGTTTGAAGCATAGGGATGAGCTCTTTTTCCATGGAATTTTTTTTTTTATCTTTGACAAAAGCATACACGTTTTAAACAATTCTATGCTGAAGGTTGAGATCTTGAGCAATTCATTTCTTAATTTTACCTGAACTTCTTTCCTCTCCATTAGTTACAAGAACGGTAAAATAATAAATTGAATACTCTCCATTTACTCTTTTTAGATGATTGTGTTGCTGTTGGGCCAAAACAAACCTCTGGAATCCAGATGAACTTCTAAGTTATTCCAAGAGAATTAGGAATCTTCCTTTACTGTCTGCATACCCTGCTTTGCAGTGTAGCTAAAGCCCTTGCTTAGACAGTATAAATTAATGCATTTGCTGGAAATGTGACTTTGGGACATTTTATAGCAGTGGTTTCGATGCTGTTAGTGGTGAAATGGAAACTTGAGAATGTGAAGATTAATTTAAACCACATGATGAGTTCAAGGAAAAGGGACATATTCTACAGTTTCTTGAATGTGTGCTAAATCTATGTACAGTGGGGAATGGGATCCGAGAAAACCACCACTGAACTTTTAAACCCTCTTGAGAGGAATCAGCCCAGCACAATTAGCCCTGTAATGGAGCTGTTCCTGATGACAGGTCTCTCTGCTCTCCCTAGAATCAGATTCCTTTGCCTGGGAGAACACAGTTGGGAGACCAGAAGAAGAGGCACCCCCAACCATGACCACCAAAGGAATGAAGCTGGAACTCTTTAGTTCTTAGCTGGTTTTCTGATCTGCCTTTCCTCATAGAATCCAAATTTCATTGGGTTCATTTAACAGTAGATATCCAACAAATTGTATGTTGTGGCTAGTTGATGAACTTGAAATAAAATATTTTCTTTTCCCCTTCCAGTTCGTTGTGGCAGTGTTCTGGATCATTTATGCCTATGACAGAGAGATGATCTACCCGAAGCTGCTTGATAATTTTATCCCAGGGTGGCTGAATCATGGCATGGTGAGTGGACTAACGCCAAGTGGTGACCTTTTATTTATTTATTAAAAATCTGTTAAAGAGCTATCTTCTAATTTAGACTTTCCATACAATCTTCCTAAATAGCTGTGAACTCTTGGGATGTTATAATGATATATTCCAATTAGAGAAAAATACTCAAGGTTAAAAAAAAAACCACCACTTCTCCCTTCTTATGGAATTGAGTCATTATTTCTGTAGCAGAAAAACCAACATTGTATAAATGATTTTAAAATATATCTAGCGCATTCTAGGATGAATTCAATTTTTGTGTCATTGGAAGGTTTGCTCTCAGAGCCCAATTGATTCCCACCTACACAACCATCAACACCCTGGCTCGACTCCCACCCCACACAAGTGGGATTGTGTTGGAAGTAACTGTTGTACTTGGATAGTCCTTCTCTGGTGAACAGCAAGGCTGTTATTTTCCCTTGGAGATCTGGTGCAGGCTCTTGGAGATGTCTTGAGCAGTGGAGTTGTTTGTGTTGTCAGCGTCTGCCCATCGTAGGGTGTTTGCCTGCAGCTGCAAGGCTGTTTCCTCAGCTTAGTTTTTGTGATGCTGTAGCCACTGGTGTTACCTTCACTTGTTTCAAATCAAGTACTTTGGATGGTTTGCACCTCAATTTCTGTGGAGATATGTTGCGTCGTCTTCCCTTTCAGTTTCTAGAATCGAGCACTGTTTTGTTATTAACTCAGAAGCTTGCATGCTGGTTATAGCAATTTTTAGAATGTGTCCCAGGGTGTTCCTGGTGAAAAGGGCAACCCATCACAGAAATTATAGGGGAAGAAAGCATTAGAAATCACGAGTCTTAGGGCTAAAATAACAATCTCCCTTCTACCCCCAATTCCGGGATATTTTAAGAAAATGATGTGTACTAACAAACAGTTCTGCCCTGAGGGACTTTGATCAAACCTTTCTTAAGCCAACTCATCAAAAATGACATATCTCTGAGAACCAGGGTTTTTGAGTTTCATTAGGGCCGTACAGGGGAAGGATTAACACAGTGCCTCTGTGGTTTCAAACACATCCACTGTGTCGTGTTGCTTCAGTACAGCCATCTGAGGGGCCTCATATGGTTACCTTGCCCTCTCCAACGTTTTACTTTTCTTGAATATGAGCAGCCCTTTCAGAACCTCATGCCTCTGCAGTCTTCTGTCCCAAATGCCCTTCTCATTCTTTCCTGGCAAACGCCTGCTCATCCTGCTGGCCTATCTGCTATCTTCATTAAGAAGCTTTTCCTAACTCCCCAAGCAAAGGTAGCTATTCCATTATTTGTGCTTACCCAACACTTTCACATCTCTTTTCAACATATCTGTATCCCCACGAAAATGTTAAACTCCTAAGGCAAAACAACAGCCTTTGAATCCTAAGCAGTTGTCCAGCTGCCTGGCACATGTTAGGATCAATACATATTTATTACCTTGATGATGGAACTCAATATGGCCAATTTCCACAGTTCTTGCCAGGCAATCCTAATAGCTGCTATATTTTGAGAGTCTTTTGTATTCTAGGCATTCTGCAGTGATTATATCGTTTAATTTCCACAATGGCACACTGAATAAGGAATTGTAAATATTATCTCACTTACAGATGATGAAACTGAGGCTCAGCAAGGTTATATTATTTGCCCCAAATCACTTAGCTAAGGATGATAGGAAAGGGCTCTGAGTCCAGTCCTATCTGACCTCATATGTGTATGTGTTGTTTCTACCAATTTATATTTTGTCTGAAGCAAAGCTTTCACTCTCAATAGAAGCTGTGACTTTGTAAAAGCTTTTACAATTGTGTAGGAGGAACACCTTCGGGACACTCTGAAATTTAGGTTCAAAGTGTGTAGCATAGTTCAGGTGTCTGAGATAAGGTGGTTGTTAATTAGGTATTTTAAGAAAAAGTTGTCAGGGCGTTCCTGATTCCTAAAAGCAGAGCTGTAAGTGGAGATGGGCTTTGCCAATTGCTGCTCCAGACATCAAACCAGAAAGCATTGTAAGAAAAGAGCAGGCTTCAGACACAGGTATATTGTCGTACAAAGAGCAATCAACTACTGCAGTGTTATATTAGAAGAGGAAGAAGAGTGACATTGTCTAGATAACTTTCTCTGGGTCCAGACTCAACTGCACTGGGGAAAGGCAACTTCCGGAGCTGTTGCTGGCTGCTGGAGGAGAAATATTGTGCTGTCTTCTGCTGACATTAGAAGGGCTTTAGCTGAGAACAGACCCTTGTATCGTGTGCTACAGTCCCAAGCTTGGACTGCTTGGCCTGTTGTTTACATCCCTGAACACATAGTAGTCTCTATCACATCCAGCCAGAGAATAAATCACAACCTTTGCAGATCCTGGTTTGAAATTTGTAATGTTTAGAACAAACGGCTTATGAAGCATGTGTGTAGCTGTTAGAACTTGGCCATGGCTCTGTTAGCTTTCTCTGATTCACTTTGATGGATGACAGTTCTTACTCTGGGAGACAAAAATGACTTAGAAACCCAAGGAAGAGTTGAGTGACACAAATACTTATGAAAGAGAACAGATAAGTTAATTAATGTGTCAAATCTTCTAAGTTAAAATGAGCTTAGTAGAGTCTTTCACAATAAATTTTATTCCTCAGCAAACTTGAATGACCATTTCTTTGCTTTTCTCTTGTTCTAATTCATAGTTGCAGAATTACCAAAAACTTGTAGATGATGACTAAAGAATAGTTTGCAACATTAAATAATTTGTAATATTTAAATTTTGTATAAATATAACTTTAGACACAATAATCATAAGATGTGATGCTGAGTCTTTAGATTGGCAGTTGAAATGTGAGCATTGTGCTGGAGTCACAATTTAATTTTTATAAAATTGTGTAATAAGTTTTGTGAAATTTCAGAAAATTAAATATTTTCAGCTTTGATTAAATTTCATTTAAAGAGTCAATAATTATTAATTATAATTTACTTTTCCTTTTATTTATAATGGATCACTTTCAATGTTTAACGTTTTAAGTGTATGAAAATTATTAAATTAAAATTTTTATTTTAATACTTACATTTTTGTTGGAACATTAAAATAAGTACTTTTATATTTTCTTTTCAATTAATCTTTTAGATTATATTTTATTTTCAATAGCTCTTTTAGATTATTATTATACAGTTTCCATTTTAACAACCTATTTAGGCCGGCGCCGCGGCTCACTAGGCTAATCCTCTGCCTAGCGGCGCCGGCACACCGGGTTCTAGTCCCGGTCGGGGCGCCGGATTCTGTTCCGGTTGCCCCTCTTTCAGGCCAGCTCTATGCTGTGGCCAGGGAGTGCAGTGGAGGATGGCCCAGGTGCTTGGGCCCTGCACCCCATGGGAGACCAGGAAAAGCACCTGGCTCCTGGCTCCTGCCATCGGATCAGCGCGGTGCGCCGGCCGCAGTGCGCGGGCCACGGCGGCCATTGGAGGGTGAACCAATGGCAAAGGAAGACCTTTCTCTCTGTCTCTCTCTCTCACTGTCCACTCTGCCTGTCAAAAAATAAAAAAAAAAAACCTATTTAGATGTTACAAATATGCTGAATGAATGCAAGAAAAATATTTTGTTGAAGTGAAGGAATTAAATACAAATTTTACAATATGTATTCATATTAATGAAGTATCTTTTTAAAAAAATTTATTTATTTATTTATTTGAAAGTCAGAGTTACAGAGAGAGAAAGAGGCAGAGAGAGGGAGAGAGAGAAAGAGAGAGGTCTTCCATCCGTTGGTTCACTCCCCAGTTGGCCGCACAGCCAGAGCTGTGCTGATCTGAAGGAGGAACCAGGAGCTTCTTCCAGGTCTCCCACACAGGTTCAGGGGCCCAAGGAGTTGGGTCATCTTTCACTGCTTTCCCAGGCCATATCAGAGAGCTGGATCGGAAGTGGTACAGCTGGGATTCTTAACCGGTGCCCATATGGGATGCCGGCACTGCTAATGGGCAGCTTTACCCACTACGCCACAGCACTGGTCTCAATCAAATATCTCAATGTTTGTATTTGCACTTTCTAAATCCACATCTTCTATCTCTCTATTCATCCAATCACATTTTTAAAAAGATTTACTTATTTATTTGAAAAAGTACAGAGAGGGAGAGACAGAGATAGATATTTTCCATCTGCTGGTTCACTCCCCAATAGCAGCAATAGCTGGGGCTGGGCCAGACTGAAGCCAGGAATCAGGAGCTTCTTCCAGGTCTCACACATGGGTAGCAGTGGCCAAAGCACTTGGGCCATTTTCCGTTGCTTTTCCCAGGTGTATTAGCAGGGAGCCAGATAGGAAGTGGAGCAGCTGGGACTTGAACTGGCACCCATACGGGATGCCAGTGTCACAGGTGACACTATGCCCCACTGTGCCCCAAAATCCCATCCAATCACATGTGTTTGTATTTTGTTGTGAAAAAATGTCTGGTGATGTGGATCAAGACATAATTTATTTAGTGTCTTATTAGCTTGATTTGTAACTTTTCAATATTTTTGCAAATGATTATGGCCCACCAGACTATCTGTTGTAGATGTGGGACGGAGTCCCTCTATTGGAGTCTTTAAAGGTCACTCCAGCATGGCCATAGAAATCACACTGGGAGAGACATAGGAAATTAAGAATTTATTACACTCCCAATTCTTTTTTTTTTTTTTAAGATTTTTTTTTTTTTATTTTTTGACAGGCAGAGTGGACAGTGAGAGAGAGAGACAGAGAGAAAGGTCTTCCTTTGCCGTTGGTTCACCCTCCAATGGCCGCCACGGCCAGCGCGCTGCGGCTGGCGCACCGCACTGATCCGATGACAGGAGCCAGGAGCCAGGTGCTTTTCCTGGTCTCCCATGGGGTGCAGGGCCCAAGCACCTGGGCCATCCTCCACTGCACTCCCAGGCCACAGCAGAGAGCTGGCCTGGAAGAGGGGCAAGCGGGACAGAATCCGGTGCCCCAACCGGGACTAGAACCCGGTGTGCCGGCGCCGCTAGGCAGAGGATTAGCCTAGTGAGTCGCGGCGCCGGCC